TAGATATTCATACTTAAACTGGCAAAATCTGGGAAATTGTGAAATTTTTGATTGCAATGCATTGGTTGATTTGACTTGGTTTGTCCCGAAAGGTTTGCACGTTCTAAATATTATCAAATCTCCTTCCATCATCAATATATATTGGAGTATTTACTTAATTAATTAATTAAATACCTGCAGATAACTGTAGAAGTGTACTATTTAATAACTTAATTATACTTGTATCTAGATTCCTAATTAACGTCGCAAAATACAAATGATATGTATGCATAAATAAATAATAATATAAATATGTATATACTTGTATATGTATGTTTTTTGTGTAGTACATCATCAACCAATCAAGTAACCATACATTATATACATATACTATATATATACACTCAGAAAAAACATTCCGCGATGATAGAAAAAAAGTATATTATTCTAAGGCAACATTACCTTGAAATGGCTCCAATGATATGGCTGCCTTAATATGAGTAAACGACGATTTCACTCAGTTTAGGAAAAACACAATTCCCTAGTTTTCAGTACTATTTTCTTTCTTCTTAGGAAAAATTAAGTTGCCGTGAAAGAATGTCATTTTGCTTGCGGCGCTTAAACAGTCGCAATGGCCGACAGAGCAAAGCTCTGTAGTAGGTACCGGTCGAGAGATGCAAGGTTCGAGTTCCAGAGCAGAAACTTTTTTGTTTTTCATATTTTTATTTATTTTTTTATGGTAATTTTATAAATTTAACTCATTTATTTTTTATGGTATTTAAGTTTTTCCATATATAAAATTAATTTTATAATTTGTAATCAGAAATTTGAATTGAAATAATTGACTTACTTTACTCTAACCACCTCCAACCGGACTCGAACCTGCGATCTCAGAACCAGAAGCAGTAGTCTTCACGCGACGTCACAGCCGAAATTTCCCAGGAAAGCAATTAACTTTGTCTTAACAGCATTGACAAAATTCAAAATTATTTAAGGAAACTATTAGTTATATTGAGCAAATTTACTTCCTCAAATTAATGACGCACTATTTTTAGCATGAACTTGAATTAAGGAAAACTTCTCAAATTGAGTAAATTTTTCATAACAAACGCTAAGGAAAAAAACAGTAACTCTAAAATATGGAAACTGGTTTCTTGTTTTAAGGAAATGCTTTTTTTTCTGAGTGTATGCATATTTGGAGGGAATATATAGTATGTACATCGATACGAGTATGTAACAGAAACTTTTTGGGACTCATACCTAAACAAATATGTATACATATGTACGTATGTACATATATTGCTGAAATTTCTTATATAATGTAAATATATTTTCCATACATATTTGTAAGTAAATACGTTTATCGTCTTCGATTTGAATTTGTGCCAGTCCATGCGCTGTTCATAGGAAATCAGAACACTGACGAGCTAACGAAAGGAATAAGCAACTTACGTTTATGTGCAAAATAGTATTTTAGAGTTAATATAAGAAGGTTAAAGTGGGGAAAATTCTTATATTGAAAGAAAATTATAGGGAAAGAAATGACTGTGTGCCTGTGATGAATTGCAAATTTTTTATCATTCCGCGTTTAACATAAATGTGTGTGTTCGTTTATGTGCAAATGGTTAATTAAGAGAGTGTATATTGAAATCCAATTGTCATAATTTCATTAATTAATCAATTAAAATTTTTTGAAAATTTAAACCTTACAATTCCTTCTGAGTAATGAAGCATAAAAACTTGATTTTATTTATATTAAAATTTGTCAACTATATGTGAACGTTACCTGCGGAATACATTTATATACAGGGTGTCCAAACAAAATAGAAGATATCGGAAAATTTTGATAATTTGTTGAAAAATTCACTCCAGGACGGAATCGAATATATTTGGCAATATTTGAATGATGTCCATGACATAATTGTCAAAAGATAATAATTTTGTTTCAGTGGCTATATTTTTTATAGTAGTTTTTAGTATAACTAAACTATGCAAGGTGTGGATATGTATATGGCGAAAAGAAAGAAATTGAATCCTTTGGTTGAGACACCCTGTATATAAAATAGTAATACAAAATAACCTTTGACAACCTTATGGAAGTTGTAGGAGACGGCACATATGTATTTGCTAGAAGGTGGCTAACTTTAAAGAAGAAAATCGAAAATGATTATGTCTGCAGCTAGAGTTGAAAAAGTGAGTGGAGAAGTGCATAATATGCAAAATGAAAATATTTGCAATTTTTTATTATAATTTTTTAGCTTACATAATGAAGAACTTAACTTTCAGAGAGTTATTCTTACCTAAGTTTCTAGCGCAGAATTGTTTCAAAAGAAATAATTTTATGGAAATTTAAACCTCACTGACAAATTTAATATGTAATGAATTAGTGCATCCTGAGATAAAAAAATATTTTTTTCCATAATTTGCATATGTCTTTGCGTCAGTAAAATTTTTTTGTTTTAGGAAATCTGATAAACGGTTTTTTTTTATTTAAATCTCTAAGAGAAATTTCGGTAACAATTACATGACTATTCTTGAAGTAAAAATCAAGTGGCCCAAAAAGTAAATGGTGTTTATATAACCAAAACTGTAAATCGATATTTCATTGAACGTTCTCTTATACATAATAAAAAACGAGTAAAAAATGTATTTATTTGCCTACGACTGTGCGAATTTGTTAAATACATTTCACACTAATTTAAAAATGTTCAAAATTTTCAATTTGGTGAGTTTGAAGTTTGTAAAAAGTGTAACAAAATCTAAATAGGTAGGTACTTTAAAGGATTTTTTTAAAACAAATTTGTAGTTTTATGTTTTTTGGTTTGGAAGTCTAGGGAAGAGAATGCAATGCACGCAAACATATTTACAGAAAAAAGTGAGAAATCAGTTAAAAAACTGTAATTTAAATATTTTTATATTTTTTGTTTTTTGTATTAAAAAGGTATTTGAGTAAGCAGCCATTCATTAGGTGGTTTGAAGAGGCGCAATACACAGAAACTAAGGTGTAAAATAAAATGTATATTTCAAAAGATGTGGAAAAAGGGATAGTTAAATAAAAAATGAGATTAAAAAAAAAAATTTAAAAAGGAAATTAATCTAAAGGAAATGATATAGGTATTATTTGGATACTGACAAAAAAAAATTATGACATACATACACAAATAAAAAACCTGGATACAAGTTTAAAATTTCGATTTGAAAATAATTCCAAATTGTGTGAATAGAAAAATTTTAAAAATCAGAACCAAATTTTTTTTCGGGCAGAAAGTTTTTTTCTGATTTCATTGCGTCATGAATTAAACTTATTATTTACTTATTTTTTCTTTGAGAAACTAAAATGAATTTCGGTTAAATTAAAAACTATTGGAGGTACTTATATCACAAATCTAAATAAAAACACAAAATACAAATTTAAAAAAAATTACCGTAATTTATTTAAAATAAATTAGCGTGTTATAAAACAAAATTAAATAACGGGATTCACATGGTGTCAAAATTAGTTTAATGTAAAATTACGGTTAAAATATTTCTACATAGTAGTCGCAGAATGAATGTTGTATGTTTTTTGTCGGCTCAAAAACCATTTGTATTTTTAAAAAAATTTTTAACCGTCATTTTTCATTAAAAAATTTAAGACATTGCGACGCTTATGATATCTTGTGAAACCATCAGTAAATATATAAAAATCAGTAGTGTGGTCGAGGATACTGGATGGGTGGAAGGCGATTTTAAGTTTTGCAAAAAATTGTTGTTAAATGAAAACTTAAAACCCAAGGTTTATTATGGTTTTATATTTAAGGTAAACTCAATTTGTATTTGGGCGAGGTTTTATTTGATTAAAATATTTGTAATCTTTGTGTAAATTATTTTGATTGTTCTTGGTGAATTTTTCTGTTGTATTCTCATTTTCTTATTTTTGTTATTTAAAATTTGTTTGTGTAATGCTTTCTTAAGTGTTGTATTGTGTGTTTGTTTTGTTTTTTTTTTTAGTTGCACATACATAATTATATTTGCATACTGTTTTGAAGACAATTTACCTAAATCATCAAATTTGGTCCTTGGCTGTACCGTCACTGTTCGGGAGAAGCGTTTTTTTTTTTTTTTGGTTTGTTTCGAATGATAAAATTTCGAAAAACATTTTAAATATTTTTTTGTTGGTTATGATTTCGAAAGTGTACGCGTGAAGTGAAATATGTTATGTAATTAAAAATTTTCAGCGGTTTGTACGTAGGTGTGTTGAACAGTTATGAATTTTTGTTTTTGTTTGTGGTAGGCCAAAGAGATCGAACAGGTCATGTTTTTGGCAGGAACACGCCACGCCAACATTGGCAATACATAAAAAATATTGGAAATATATTTGGAAAAGAGAGCATTTTAATATACATAAATATATGTAAGTACATAAAAAAATTAATATTCATATCTTTTTTGCATACATATAAATATATAGAAAAGAGAATTATGTAGTATGGTATTGATGATTAAGGATTTAAAATATAAATATATGTGTATGATGTATGAATTAAAAGAAAATATGATTGTTTCTTATTTGTGCATATAAATATTCTTAAATATAATTAGTTTAGTAGGGAACGCTTAGAGTTTGAATAACCGGAGAAATTTGTATGCTATTTCGATTTACATATAAACTTAAACATTAGAAAGACTAAGTATAGAATAATTTTCAATATTATACATTTCTAATAGCAGGAATTTTGTTGCCGCACTGTTTGAAAATTGCACAGCAATAACAGTTTTAATAAGTCATTAATAATACGATTTAACAATAATTTTCGTTTTTCTTTAATAATAATTAGAGTTACCATAGATGAAATAAAGTTGAAAAACCAAATTCAAAACTTCTTAAGCAATAATTGAAAATACATAATTGAAAATATTTGAAATAATTTTTTATATGAAAATAAAATTAAAGTAAATTAATTAATTTTATTTTTTCAAAACAGTACTAAAATTATTTTTCATTATGTGTTTTTTGGCATAGTTATGAAAAGTTTACTCACAGTTTTTGCATTTACACTTCTTGATCAGCGTTTCGTCTTTGATATCCTCGTGGCAGGCCTTGCAGTAGAACCAGGCTCTGTAATATGAAATAATAGAAAAATGTTGAAAAAAATTAACATTTATATTTTTTACTATAAAGCGACGTCTTCAAAAATAAAACATCACTTATATGTATATCCTGTGTCATAACTATTAGCGCGCCACAATTAATAAAAATAAGCTTTAACAATTAATGTTGTATATATCAGAACACATATTAAAAAATTGTTTTAATTGCATGCTTGCTTTAATTCTTGCTTTATATAAAAAAAATACTGTGCTTTTTACCAAACCGCACACACATATGTGTGCAAGTTTTTAATTTTTTATATGCACAGCACACGATTGTGAGCGTAAAATGTTAGGATGTGCTGCGCATGTCTGTGCAAATACGAACCCTATCGAAAATACTTTGTATGGCAGAAAATGCACAACACCGCATGCAAAAAAAAAACCAAAAATCAACGGTAAGTCCCAGTTACTTTTAATTTTTACAAGACCTTTCTATTTAAAAGGCTCGAGATTTTTACGAACGTTTGTTTATATTTTTTTTTTACATATTGAAAACAGTTTGGAACTTGAATTTATACGGTATTTTAAAGAATAAATTATAATTTTATAAAATAATAACTATAATTGGAGATTGTAGTAAACGGTAAGTTATCTTTTGCTGTAAAAAACCTGATTTCTATAAATCAACATGGGTTCGGCTCCAACCGCTCCACAATTATCAATCTGGCTATTTTCACTGATTACTGCATTTCCGCATTTCAAACTAATTTCCAGATATGTACGATCTACACGGACTTTTCAAAAGTCTTCGACTAAAGGTACGACAGGCAACGCGACACGACACTACACAGCACAGCAAAATAATAAAGATCTTGGCTGAGTTTTTGTAATGTTCGACTAACTTTTGTGTAGGTCCCTGACCAACTTTCTCAGTCCCGAAAAGTTAGCTTCAAAAAGACTTGTGAAAAAAATCGCGTTATTACCTTTTTACCTAGAAATCTCCGAACTTATTTAGTTCAATCAAGACAACAAATATATTGTACAGAATTAGCAAAATAAATTTATTTTATAAAAAAAATTCCACTTCAGCAAAACACGAAATTACGTTTTCTCAACCCACTTGAGGTTACTTATTTCACTACATCTTAAAAAAAAAAAAGTTTATATACACTAGGGAATCACCCTCAATACAAACAAAAAAAAAAACGGTACGGCTTGTCCGTCGGAATTATAAAATTTATTACATTTTAAAGCTTCCGCCAGAATATTTTGAAAAACTATTAAGACTTACTTGATTTCAATTTAACAGAGCTCCGAAAATCCATATATTATAAATAAAAATAGTTTTTAAAAATATATATATTTTTTATTATATTATTATTTTATAAACGGAATAAAAATAATGAGTTGTTTGGAGGTGTTTCCAAATCTATCTAGCGCTTCATGAGCTCAAAAATGCCGAGGGAAAAGCCGCAACTTTTTTGGTGAGGCACCCCAATGCACACATTTAATGTTTTTTTTTTACTCACCGTTTCACTTCATCAGCGCTTTGAGCTATAAAGAAGCCTTGCGTGTTCGCTTGTATTTTAGCATTGCGCGGATTGATGGAAATCTTGCTATCCGCACCCTCTTCGGCACCTTTGATTTCGATAGCTACCAGCAATAGTTTCAGTTTCGAAAAGCACAGTCTGTAGGCACAATATTGAAAATTATCACAATATAGAAAGTCAAATAAATAAAATACTTTAGTATATAGTAACAAAATAGTATAACTCTATATTATTAAATAAGTAAATATTTTGTTTGAGAAAAGTTTAAATGAAAAGTAATAAATATTTTTTAATTACAAAAATGTTGAGTATTATCCAGTATTTACAGAGAGTGCTACAATAAGCGGTACGCACAAAAAGTACAAAAAATCCATGCGCCAAATGAGTATAAATAAATAATAGTGCAAGATTTGGTTCATATTTTTTTTTTTGAAGTTTGCCAAAATTATTAAAAACTATGTATGTGTCAATATCATTTATGCAAATAAGCAAATTAGCGATTTTAAACAAAATTTTATCGGCTTTAAAAATTAACTTAATAAAAATAAATTCGTTTAGTACAAAATTATTCACTGCCAACTAAGCAAAAACAACTTCTGACTACTAAAGCTCTGTGTGATACATTCACAAAGACAAAACACATTCACATTTCACGAGCGACGGAAGGGAAACGGTGTAGGTGATAGCAAAACGAGGAAAGGATGCATGCCAACAATCTGCGAGTATATTAGTTTACCTGCGTGCATAGAATGCTTTGCGCTTGTTGTTGTTGTTGTTGTAATTTAACTACATGTAAGCTTACTTCAAAAAGGCTTGGAAGGGTTTCTATGTTTTCTGTTTGCTTTTAAATGGATGGGCGATAATAATTGCATACATATATACAAAATGATTTGGAAAATCATTTGTAATTAGGGAGATGTAGGCTGCGTGTGAAAAATGCTGCTCACTCGGGGGGGGGGGGGGGATATGTAAAAAAGATGTCTCGAAAACATGCAGCAAATGGTGAAAGCTAGAACGTGCGATTCATGAGACAACAACCATGTATGTATGGATGTATGTATGCATGTATAACTACTTAGGACATTAGGGCGATTGCTCAAGTCACTAAACGGGTAGGTGTGCGGCCAAAGAAATGTTGTAAGTAAATGTTGCGGGATTTAATAGTATCTATAGGTTTTGCTGTGTTCAAGAAAGTGGCCAATAAGCAAGTAATGTGCTTGTTTTTAGACTCATTTACTCATTTACTACAAAACTGTTTGGGCAAATATTTGGAGTCTGTGATTTTACAGCGCTAGTAATTGATAGGTACATTTAGGGGTTCAATTGGCTTGGAATGGGGTTAGCACAGCACTAAAAAAAAAAAAAAATAAAACATTGTGTATTGTGATTTGTTGAGCTATGGTTTTTTATACAGTATTTTTTTTTTTATTAAAAAGCACTTTTTTAAATTACAAATGAGTAACTGAGTTCCCAGGAAATTTTCGAGATTTAGATCATTAGCCTGAGTAAAAAAAAATCAAGAAATTACATTACTCCAGTCAAGAGAATATATTCTTGATATGTCGCTACATATACCTTAATTATACCGACATCAAAAATAATATTAAGTTAAAACAGAAATTTAATTGAGTGAATTAAGTTTTGAATAAAGCTAAGGCTTTTAGTGTTCAGACTCAGTCAGCTGTTCGATTAGCAATTTGCCAGAGCGATGGAAAGGTTGGTACAATCGTACCTTTATTTAATTTGAACGTACGTCATTTCGACGTATTTTATTGTGTGGATAAATTGTCCAATAACCTCTCTCCTTTTTTTTTTGAGGGGCATAGAATGACACAAATGACATAACTGTAGTTGATTGCGCCAGATAGACAGAACATATTTGTATTTAAAATGTTAGATAGAAGATTTCGGAAGAAATTAAAAAAAAATTTTCTTCATTTTTTCAACTTTGACCGACGCTAATTAAAAATTTTTTTTTTTTATAAAAGTTGTTAAATATTTACCTAAAAATTAATTTGTTTCTGTGTAAATTTTTCGTCTCATGAAATCGGATAAAAATTTTGGATGTTAAGCAATTTAAATAGAAATACGACCTTGAATTTGTATGTGTATGTATGGAATTTATCAATATTTTATTAAAATGTACCGATGTGTAATTGGCTCCGCCTACTTTTATCAAAAACAAATTACTTCGCCGATCTGTACCAAAATTGGTATAAGCATTGTTCAAGAAAATTTTTGCAATAACTTTGAGTTTTTTGAAATGACCATTACGGGGAGAAGCGCGTGTTTTTTTTGGATTTAAAACATTTCAAAATGGTTCAGATCGGTATATCATAAAATTATAAAATATCTATTTGTATTAACATTTTGTTTTTAAATGGAGCTAATACGTTGTCTTATAAATGCTTAAATTGTATATTAAATTCGATAATCCTTTCACGAAAATTGAATTTTTTGATCAACAAAATTTTAATGCACATAGAATTTTAAAATTCTTTAAATTATAATTCTTTCTGAGAACATGTATGCAACAAATTTTAGGCACGCTGTCAAGCTCACCGTTTGAGGGTAAAATGTGGTGATCGACTATTTGGTTATATCTTATATGAAGAAAATTGCACATATGCCGGTTGAGAATTGCACGCAGTTACTTACATACATATGTGGGAAATAATGACCAAAGTTGCTTAAGGATCAAATGCAGCAAACACTCAGATGCATTTTTTTTTATTTGTTAAATATCTTTCGGTAGATACAGCTAATTAAATATATATGTATGTAAGGCGTATCTAAATCTCAAAATTTCGGAACATTTTATTTCGAATAAATACAAAATGTTTTTTCGGTTATTTTTATGTACTTATTAGCTTTGTTTATGCATAGAACAGTCAGGTAGGCGAGCAGACAATTACGTGGTTAGTTTTGTGTGCGATTAGGTTTTTGGTTGGGAATCTAGAGTTGTTTAACAAAAAAACCTTTGTTGAGTATGTATGCATTGCATTAGAGGAAAAACGTATGCAAGACCGTAAACATTCCAAATAAGTTAAACAAATGTGAAAATTATATTGAGACGCATCAGCTAAAGAAAGTTTAAAAAAAAAAATGAAAATATTGAAATTAAAAGAAGTTAAACAAATATAATACATTATACATAATTTTACACTGGCGGTCAAAACTGGATGAATGGCTTTTTTGTTTTAATATTTACGTAAATGTTTTTCAAGCAAACATTGTTTTGTTAATTTTTATAAAAATTTAGCCTTAACATATAAATTAAACTTTCAAACTTTATACACGATTTATAAAAAATCCAATTTTTTTTTTTGTATAATTTTGAGCTTTTCAATTACAATTTTTATAAAAATTTTGGCTATGCAGTTACAAGGCTTATGGCAATTTTAGTTAAATAAGTGCAGCTTTAAAGCGGATAAAAAGTGCGTAGAATTTTAATATTGTATAAAAAAAGCTGTTAATTTTTTTTTTCGACAACGGTATTGCGCCTTTTCTTTCATAAAAATTTCATGTTTATATGAAAAAAAATGCCAAATTTCATCAACAAAAAAAAAAATTTAAGAATTAATGCGAGTTGAAAACTTTAATGGAAACTTGTTGAATTTTTCTAGATTCTTTATAAAGTTCGAAAGTTTGATTCATATGGTTTTGGTTAAAGCATGAACCTTAATTTGTATAAAAAATAAATAAAAAACCTAAACTTAAAAAACATTCAGTTTTTACCGCCAGTCTATGGAATTTTGGCTGTTAAAATATTTCATTGCAATATCTTGCATAACTAAGTTTTGGTTGAAATCGTTTAATTTTTAATAAATTTTGTTTGCATACCTTTTTTAATCAAAACAAATTAAAAATAATTTGTAGCTTGAATATTTTTATAATTTTTTTTCTTCTAAAAATTTAGTATTTGAAGAACGAATGACTTCAAATACTAAATTTTTAGAAGACAATTTATGTTTCAAATTAAAAATTTTTCTAAATACATACATAAATATTTATCGGGAATTCGGTTTCACATCTTATAAATTTAACTACCGAAATTTTCTACGCGTGACTTTTTTGTAGATGAACCGGGTATTATCGATTTTGTTTCATTTAATTTTAAAAATTTCTTAGAAAAATTAGATGTTTATAGAAAAATATTTTCATTCTCTTTCAGCTGATGCATCTCACTTGTGGTTTTAGTAGTTATTATTTTTTTGTATATTTAAATTATATGTTTATATCGTCTCTAGTTAATTCTAAGCAAAATGCAGTTACTTTTTATATATTTTTTTTTTGTAGTAAAAAAGTGTAATTATTCTAAAGTAAGTAGTTAAAAAACCAAACTAAAAACGCAAAGTAGATAATTCGCTTGCTTCGGGTCTTACTCGCTGGCTTGTGGGAATGTCATGCCGGTAAATGAAGGTGAGAGGGTTTCGGTGTACATCTCACACCCGGTACCTTGGAGATAATCGTTTTGCCAGGCCTGTGTATCTGGTGACTGAAAGTTAAAAATGATTCGATTGCGGTACGGATTTAGTAACCAAAATTAAAGTAGAAGTTTTATAGCAAATTCTTATATATTTACATACATTCGGCACTACTGAGTACAGTCTAAGGAAACTACATAAATGCGAATTGCTGCAGCGCATAATCCAGGGATGTGACGCATCGGGCGCTATTAGGCGAGCAATTAACATTGGCCTTGTAGTTGCTTACAGAATGTGCATTTATTTGCATGGGCGTGGCAGTTCTGTATGATAGCACGCTTGAACTTCAGAGGATAGTTTTCTTGAGCGAACTTTTCAATATCAAAGGGGTATGCAAAGCTAGACTCTTCGATGACTGTGGCAGGCAATTATAAGTTTTTTTATTTATTTTTTGTTACAAGGTTGTACAACAGAAGAATGCAAGGCTGGTAACATGGATCTTACTGGACCATGCTTCTTACATATTTGTTGCAAACGCCAAATAAGCGAATCATTGGTGGCGGAGTAGGAAATTTTGCACTCTCATTCATACAATTACTTTTACTTAAAACAAAAAAAAATAGCTTTGTACTATATATGTATGTAGTGTATTATGTATAAGTATGTAGATCAAACATACAATTAAAAGATCTTTAGCACGCGAGCAGGCTATCGTTTGTAAAAGTAAGCATTAGGCCGGGTCGGTTGCCGTACGGAAGAATAAAGTTTACTTAAAGAAAATTTGGGCGTCATAAAAATGTCCGCACCAGTCACGCACTTAAAACATACAAAACAGTGTTTCATCATAACTCTAATGTCAATATGAAATTGATAACCGAAAACGAATTTTCGTCAATGCTTTGTCAAACTAGTTTTGAGGTCTGTTTTAGTGCAGGTCTAGAGCGAACATTGTTGAGTTGCCAAAAAGCACTTGAAATAAGCTTTTATTTCGCGACCCAACCTAGTAAGCATACCTTTGCTCTGATTATGTACAAATGAAAACTTGTATTTGAGTGAGAATATAAATAATAAAAACTAACTAAAAGTGATAATATTGGTACTCGTACATATGTATGATATAAAATGATCACAAAATATCAATGAAAGAGAATCGAACTTTATGTGCTCGATATGGTATTTATGCGGGAAAAGCAGCAACAACACTGGCCCAAATGTTTAATTTTGATTTTTCTATATTCTAAATGGAGAAGAGGATGTGAAAGGGTCAAAAGAGGCCTCTTAAAGGCAATCGTTTATTGGCAGAAGTAAAGAATATCTAATACATATGCACAAGTTAGAACATAGTGCTGTTGCTGCTTACAAGATTTTGATGTCTCATGTAAATATGTATGAAAATGTAAAATATTTGTGTACTTAGGCCTCAACATTTCTTGTGTGAAAAATTTACGTGTTCGTTATTACGTGAGTACTTCAAAAGAAAAAAGCCCAACCCATTTACATTCATTTATTTTTAGAAATTATCATTTAGGTACATATTTACAATTGAAAAAAATATTAGAATTGTTGTTCTTTAATGAAAAGTTATATGTATTTTTTTTGGAACCTCGTGCATTATAGCTTTAATAGTAATCCTTTTAGTCGTGAAGGATTTTAGTCCCTTTTTTGCCATCTTCACTATGCAGCTTCTTAGACTGGCATTTGTTGGCGCCAAAAATAAGTCTAACCTTTGAAATCGCTCCCAAGGTGTGGAACCGATTTTTATGCAGTTCAGAGTATAATAACGTCAAAATCGATTGAAATTATGGCCCAATATTTTTTGATTCGGTGTACCCTGCTCGTTTACGCCAAAAATGTCCAATTGGGAAGATAATAAAGAGTTTCTTGTGCCCACATCATACAAAATTTTTTAGGCTCCACATACTAAATTTTATGAATTTTGGAAAAAAGAAAGATACATATTTATTTTATTTTTAATGAAATTCCTATTTCTTGCTTTTAAAAATGACAAATCGAAAACATTTACAATGCCTGTATACCGTATTAGGTGCATGACATGTATTTGCATTGAAACCCTTACTTTTACCTACATAAAAGCTGAGCTGAGACAAACAGGACTTTTGCTATCGAAAACAAATCTTGTCCAGAAAAGCGTCAACTTTTGGCTGAATGATGAATCCTTCTTCAATTTCCATTTTATTTTGCATATTGACTTGACTTGAAAATTGTATATCTAGCAAATGAGCGGCGCGCGCACAAAAAAACAACTTCACTAAGAAACTTGGAGAACTATAGACTTTTGATTTCTAAGTGCAAAGACAGCCGTGAGAGAATCATGCTGCCACATAATTTTTTCAAATATTTTTTATAAAATTCCTCCAGATATGCCACACAAATATGATATTTTGTATTAATGCAATTCTTCAGGCAATCGAAAAATAAACTTTAAATACAATTGAAATATGTGTAATTTTTATTGAATTCTACGCCCAAAAAAATTAATCGTTTTAAATTTTGCGTGTATAAATACAAGTTCTGAGTGTAAAAGAGAGAAAAAGCAATAGATGACACGGAAAGTAATCGTTTCTAAGTTTTTAGGTAAATCAATTCAAGTCAAGGTCTTGCTTAACTGGGCCTTTATTGGTCCTAATGTCCCATGTATGTAATACTTCTATATTGATAGTAACCACGGTTGCCAACTTTTGGATTCTTGAAACCAGGACGCATTAAAAATCTGTTCTTTTGCTCGCCCGCAAGTGCCCGAAAGTGGTCAATTCGTGTCTCTTTGGTTGATTCTCAGGCTGTTGAGAGCCATTTTGAGCTAGTAATATTTGCTTCTCACTAACCCGAAGTCGGCCGGACTATTTTTCTGGACCAGTTTGTGAAAACCCGAAGTTGTTGCAGAGGGCCATCGATATGTGGTCCTTTGTACGTATAGATGTTCCGAATATGAGTCAAATCGGTCGGACGAATGATAAAAAATTCTACAAATATTTCGACACCAGCGCCGCCTTACGGTTCAATCTTATATATTCGCATTCAGGTTACTCTATAAGGGCCGTTCTTACCATGTCTGATTAATTCTAACTTCCAGTTAAGCAACGGTATCCCGCCCATAACATGTGATCGATAAAGCTGTCGATGTGCTTAACTGAAGGATGTACCTCCAGTTAGTGCTAGACGTGGTGCAAACGGCCCTTTGGTACCTAGTACGCAGTTGTTTAGTATGAAATTCTAAATGGGTTGGGCTTAGTCACTAATGCCATTTTGGTTGGTTACAAGTCATACGTAAAATCCAAGTTTCAGTGCAATGTTTTCAAACGATTATTAAAATAATAATTTGCATTAGTTAGTTAACGTCCAATTAACATATCACGTAATTAAAAAAATCAGAAAACAAGTTGTAAAATAATTTTATAATTTCTTATTTAGTTTTTGATTTGATCTATTCTTATTAAAAATACGTCACAACATCGAAGGCTTTTAAAAAGAAGAACACTTAAAATTCAGCTGAGAACACCACGAAAAACTGAAAATAAAAACAGAACGCAATTACCAGTTTACGATTTAAGAGTAAGACGAAAATTTTGCGAAGAAAGGAGTATAATTGAAAAGTAAAATTTATAAGACGCTGTGTGTTTACAATTTACTAGTGAATTGCCGTTAATTTATTAAACTGTTTCAAATTACTCACAACGAATAAAAGTCACAATTAGAAAAGAAAAAAATATCGTCAAACAACAATTAGAATGACGTCGGAAAAAACATTTAGAACGAAAGTTCGAAACACTGGACATTTAAGAGGTTAGTCGTTTGATTGTATGTATGTATGTAGTATACATGTGTATGTGAGTGTGTGTATGCTATACCCTGCAGAGAAATTTCATATACATACATATGTATGCATTAGGGCTGTGCGATTATTCGATTACTCGAGAAAGTTGGTTAATCAATTATTCGGTTAATCAATTACTCGAGTAATCAAGATTTTGATTACTCAAAACGATGACTAGTCGAGTTACTTGAAATGTGATTACTCAAAAAATAATAATTTTGCTCGTTAAAAGAGTTTGCTTTGGAAAATGCTTATTTTATTTTTTACATGCTGTATATGAAAAAAAAAATTGTTTTAATTTTTGAAAACAGAAACGTTGTTTTCAAAGTATCAAGGAACTTTAACTACTTTATACATATGTAAAGAGTTGAAATGTTGATTACTCATTTTACTCGAAATCTTTATTAATCATAAAGCAACTTACTCAAATATTTTTGTTTTTGGTTAATCAAAAATCTTGATTACTCGAGTAACTGAACTTTTGATTAATCATAATTTCCAATTAATCGAAAATTGAGTTATTTACTTTATGATTAAATAAAATTTGGAGTAATCAATTAATCGCACAGCCCTAGTAAGCATGTACATAAATATGCAGTTCAGAATTTATCTGCAGGCTGCGAAAAGAGGTGCGCATTTTTTTTGTTTGTAGATAAATTTTATTTGAAAGTGTATCAAAAATAAATGAGGAATAAAGCCAATAAGAAATAAATATTTATTTGTATGTAAATGTGTCAATAAATAAAATAAAAAGTTTAATTTTATTTGTAGAAATAACATTGTATCATACGATAGAGATACTGTTTAACGAATAGCTGAGAATGTATTTGTATTTATTTATGAAGGCAAGTTGTTTGATAGACACACGCCAATGCCTGCGTTCGAAAACTTACTCAGTGGCCTGAGCAAATGGTATTCCAATAAATGTGGGACTCAAAGTTTCTGTGTACATTTCCATGCCGGTACCGCGCAGATAATCATTGGTCCAAGACTGCATGTCTGGTGACTACAGGTACATATATAGGTAGTGGATTAAAATACTTTGAATGTTACTTAGTATATAACAAAAAAAAAAAAAATGCGTTGAATTGTTCATAAGGAGGTTTGAAATCAAAAAA